TTTATTTACTTTTTCTGTACAAGTTTTCAAAGTTCTATGTGAAAAACAGAAACTAGTGACACTAGATTGAGATTAGATAAGGGAATTTGAGAGTTAAGGCTAATGTTCAGGATGCATAGGAAGGACTTTGGCAAAGACAATGCTCTGGGACTCTACTCTGCTTACATAAATCTATTGACTAATAGATAATTAAGTTAAGTAAAGGAGGGCAGGGGGACAGGTAGGTGGTGAAGTGGATAAAGTGCAGGGCCTGGAGTCAGGAGAACCTGAGTTCAAATCTGGCCACAGACACTAGCTGTGTGACCCTGAGCAAGTCACTTAACCCTGTTTGCCTTAGTTCCTCTTCTGTGAAATAAGCTGGAGAAGAAAATGGTAAAACACTACAGTATCTTTGCCGACAAAACATCATAGGGGTCATCAGAGACAGCTCAAATGATTCAACAACAACAAATAGGAAGGTCACATTCTTGGCTGCAATGACAGGAATGCAGAGATGAGGTGTCTAGCTCTGTCTTGGCATCACACAATGTTCTTAAGTGACTCTTTGAAGGTTATTAAAGTTTTGATATAATTTGAAGTGCCCCTGATACTATCTGCAAAATTCTTTTTTTTTTTCATTCCAACAAATATTTGTTATTTCTCTTGTGTGTGAGGTACTATGTTCCATGTTGGGAACATAAGGGAAAAATGAAAACAGTTTTACACTAAATTCTACTATGGGAACACGACATTTATCTGCAAAATTCTTGATAGTAACTAAAAGGAATTTGCCCTCCCTACCCAAAATATCAGGGAGGCTTGGAGAATTCCTTTGAAGGAGGATGTTGAACATTGTTAAGCTAAAAGAGCTAAAAACACCCTTAACTCTAGGCATGTTGGCTGGCCAGTCTCACAAAAGAGTGCTAACCTTTCCCCTGAAGAAGAAGCCCCAACCCTAGCCCCAGATGAAGACTCCAGCAACTTTAGAAACAGAATAAAACATCAGTGGGGCATACACACTTGTCTGGGAAGTGAACCATTAAAGCTATTACAGCTGAGCCATAACCTTGGGACCTCCTGAGTCCTATAGGTGATATTCCCATTCTTATGGGCAGCATGAGTAACCATAGGAAATTGTATTTCTTTATGTGTTGGGTTATTTCCCTCATCAATATGAAGTGAGCTTTTATGGCAAGGCAACGAAGTATATTTTATTGGAATGGATTTCTACAGTGGAGAGGAAAAGGGATGTTATATGTAGATAGACAAGCCCCTTCAGCCTCAGCAAGACCAGGCTTCTAATCCTGCCTGTCACTCCTATTGACTGTGTAACCCCACTTTTTGTGTCCCAGGCAACTCTCAGACTAAAAACCCCAGGACAATGGCAGATGTGCCATTGGTAGAGGGAATTTCCTCTCCAAGGAGCTCACTACATAAATCAGCACCGGAATCTATATGATTTATTTTGGTATTCATCCTAAATGAAAACTTTTCTATTTGATTTATGGTTCCTGGGTTTTATAGTGAATTCTACATCTGCAAAAGTAGGATCACCCCCAACAACACCTGGAAAGAAAAGGGAGCTATTTGGGATCCATGATACCCAGATCTACATGACCAACTTTGTATAATAATAAAAATTATCCTAGTAGACATTCTTTACATAATGAAAGAAACTCCATTTTTACATTGAAATTATTCTATGTGAACCAGGTTAAGCTGATCATTTCCTACTCACCAAAGTCCCAAATGCATTTCACTCAGTTAATCGATCCGGGCTTAGCTGCCAGCAGCCTGTCTTTGGGGAAAAATGCCAGGTCTAAAGCCTGCCCTTCACCTGATTCTCCTCCCTCTTCTCCCCGCCCGCATCTACCCTCTGAATCATTGGACCTTAGCGTTTGGACTTTTCTCATGTCTCCCCACTGGAGCCAAGACTAGAAAAAGGACGGTTTGTAGGTCCGGGCCAGTTTGTTCTCTCTTGTTCGTCAGAAAACCAGGAATTGAGAATCATGGCTGCGAAGCCCAAACTGTATTACTTCGATGGCAGAGGCAGAATGGAATCTGTGCGCTGGCTCCTGGCCGCTGCTGGTGTGGAGGTAGATGCTTCGTTTCTTACGTTTGTTCTTGTTCTTCAGACTCAGTCAATATTTACTAGAGGAGAAGTCACATGGACCTTACTTAATGACTGTCTCGAAAAGAGGGGTCTAATCATGGTGACACCATCTTCTTTTTTTTTTTTTTTTTGATAGTGAACTAAGTCACAGGAGCAATTTGAAGGGCAAATTTATCTTGATAATTAAGTGTTGATTGAGTTCACCTTCTGAAAGTGTTATCAAGGCCTAGGGGCAAGTTCAGTGGACATTCAGCCGACCAGGGTCCAAGTGGCGGTACCACTACCTCCTAGCTGGATGTCCTCAGGCAAGTTAGCTTGCATCTCTGAGTCCCAACTTTATTGCTTCTAGAATAAGGGGCTGACATTACATGATTTCTGAGTTCCCCTTGTAGGTTTGGTTTTCTGTGATCGTTGACTCCAATGACTCCTTTCTATATCGTAACACAAAGAATGATACTGGTTCCCATTTATTTCATTAACTGCCTGGCCATTATTGCTTAGTGTTGTTATTCATTTAAAAGCCCACCATTTTGGAAACTTGAAAAATACCAGGTCAGCTAGGTGGCACAGTGGATAGAGCACCAGCCCTGGAGTCAGGAAGACCTGAGTTCAAATTTGACCTCAGACACATAACACATTAATTGTGTGACCGTGGACAAGTCATTTAACCCCATTGCCTAGCCAAAGAAAAAAAGAAAAATACCAAGGAACAGAGGTTGGGTTAGTTTCTAAAGAGATTTTTAGCAATCTTCATTTTTGTTGGCTTCCTTTTTCTTAGGTAGAGAGTGAGGTAGATTCAGATTCATTATATACAAGTCCTTCATAAAGTCTTGACAAAGTTTCTAAATTTCTAAACATTAATAATTTAGATTGATATGCTAGAAAAATTTGTGATAATCTTTCAGGTGGTGATGAATGATTTCCCCCACTTCTAAGTGATATTAGTAAATCACTTCCCCTCTCTGGGGTTCAGTTTCCTGTCTTCCACATGAGGGGATTGGACAAGACAACCCCCAGTGTTCCTTCTAACTCTGTCTGTGTCCTAGGGTCTGAGGGCCTTCAGTTCTGCTAATCCTAGGACCCCATGTACTCTATCCACCACACCACTTAGTTACCATTTAAGGAGCTTGAGTCTCAATCTATGAGCCTATGAACAGTAATTACAATCATTAATAATAGTCACAATATTAATTAGGCAGTGTGGCATAGTGAAAAACACTGGTCTGGGAGTCAGGAGGTTCAGATTATAGTCATGGTTCTGTCACTAATTAGCTGTGTGACCTTGGGTAAGTCTTAGGATCATGGGATTATAAATAGAGAGCTAGAAGAGGTCTTGAGGCCATCTAGTTTGTGTCTTCCCCCCTCCACACCTCCTTTTTGTTGATAAGGAAACTGAGGCACAGAAAAGTTAAGTGACTTGCCCCAGGTCACTCAAGCAGTAAGCTACAGAGGTAAGTTTTGACCCTAAGACTATATGTTGCAGAGCAGTGACTGATTTACCCAGGTAGATATGGTTTCCTCAGCAAGAGTTCCCTCTATCAGCAGTGTCATATTTAGTGGGGACCACTAAATTGTATGATCTAATTTTATTTATAAATACCCCAATTACATTTTAATCTTGTTGGGCATGCACTCAGGAGTTTTGCAGGCAGCTGGTTTGACACCTCTTTCCTATATCCAGACACCTCCCCCCTCTCTATCCTCAAAAGGCATGGAAAGGTAGCCTGCAGTGATTGTATTGACAGAATGCTGGGTTTAGAATTAGGAACACCTGAAGTCAAATTTTGCCCCTGGCACTTGTTCCGTATGACCCTGGGCAAGTCTTAACCTGCCTCAGACAACAGCACTTAAGTATGAAGTCATAATATGATTGCCAGAATCACAGATCCTTTGTATGGACTTATACAGTGTACTCTGTCAGGCACTGGATAGATCCAAAAATGAAAAAATACAAATTGTTACCCTCTAGGCATTGATAATCTAGTAATCATTTCTCTAAGCTTCATCTTTTAATTAAAAAGAAAAAGGGGAGGAGGGTAGACTAGAATAGTGGTTCTCAAAGTGTAGTCTGAAGTTGCCCAAGATCCTTTCAGGGAGTATTTGAGATCAAAACTCTTTTCATAATAATACTAACATGTTATTAACCTACTAAAATACTCTTCCCTTTTCCACATTTATGTGAAGCTGGATTTTATCTATCTATCCATATCTTTATCTATATATGTATGTATATATGTATGCATACACATATATTTCTTTCAGAACAACATATTAAAACAGACTGAATGCAGAAGCAGATATAAGAATCCAGCTAAGATTAGATAATAAAGAGATTTGCAAAAATAGGTAAAACAATGCCACTCTTCTCACTAATTTTTTTGTTTTGGAAAACAGTAATTTTTCATGAAAACATGTTATTTGTATTATGTAATGGGTTTGTTTCCAATGAATTGATAAATATATTTAAAATTCACCAGTTTTATTTTCTACTATGGCAAATGTTGATAGAACTCACAGAAACAGAAGCTCTTTGGGTAGGTCCTCAATAATATTAGATTTCAGAATGTAGTGGAGGTTCTGAGACCAAAAAAAAACTTGAGAAATATTGGACCAGAGCATTAGAATCATTTATGTAGAGCTAGAAGAAACCATAGAAATCATTTAGTCCAAGGTCCTCATTTTTGCAGATGAGGAAACTGAGGCCCAGAGAAATTAAGTGACTTTCCCAGGGTCTCCTAACTAGTAAATATCTAAGGTAAGATTTGCACTCAGGTCTTTGTGACTCCTACTCCTGTACTCTACCCCTCATACAGCCTAGTTGTCTTAGGTGATCTCTAGGGTCTCTGCCAATGCTAACATTCTATGATTCCATCACTGTCATATCCTCATGTGTCCTTCTCCTTTGTAGTTTGAAGAAGTGCTTTTGGAAACAGCTGAAGAACTTCAGAATTTAATTAAGGGTGAGTTCAAAGCCTTGCTGCTGTGCTCTGCTAGTCCATGAAGATCAGATTAACTACCCTTGCCTTGCCTTGCCTGAAAAGACATACAGAAAGTCTGTAAGATCCCCATGAAGCTCTCCAATTCTCTCACTCTATAGTTGTGAAAAAGTATGTTATAAATCATAGCATGAATGGGTAATTACACAGGGCACTACACAAGTGTGCTTCTCTGTACCTCAGAGGTAGGGTTTGAATTTCAAAACAACCGCATCAGGGAAGAAAGTAAAGCTTTTTTCCTCCTGAAACAAAGGGCCCTTGGCTTCTATAGAGGAATAGCGGTGGATGGGAAAAGTGATAGAATTTAAGACTGAAAAGGTTAGGTTGGAGTCAGGCAATGGAGGAGCTTGAATGTGAGGAAAGAGCAGTCAGGTGGGAGTTACTGGAGGGTTTTTTGTGTGTGGGCAAAGAAGTATCTAGATAATTGCTGTGTTTCAGGAAGATGAATTATGAAGGTCTGATTGGAATAGATAGAGACTGGAGGTGTAGAGACCAGTGAGAAACACTGAAAGATTCTAGGTGGCAGACAAAGTTAAAGCTAAAGTAGATTTAATCATTAGAGAAAAATAGGGAAAGTGTACTATATGTCAGTCATATCAAACATTATTGTTTTAGACCATGTAAAATAATTAGACAGTAAAAGGATGGAATATTGCTGTAGTGTAGGAAATGGCTAGTTGGTGGACCTAGAAAAATATGGAAAGACTCGGATATATGAAGGAAGAGGGTATGCACCCTCAGGGAAACAGAGAACAAATAAGTATAGCATGGTCTTACATAGATGCATGTGAATGTATATTCCTATATATATAAGTATGATTATAGAAATCTAAGTATATGTATTTGAATTTAAGTATACACTTGTATGTGTATGTGCATGTATATATCTTTGTATGTATATGTATAGGCATGTATGTTTGTGTGCATTTGTATGTATGTATATATGCATGCATGTATGTGTGTATACATGTATGTCTGTATGTATATGTGTATATATATACACATATAAATATATCTGCCCTTATTTATACCTTCTTGGGGGAGGAGGAGGGAGGGGGAAAAAAAGAACAAAGTAAATAGTGCACAGCAGAGAACAAAAGAAAACTTACAAGGAAGCAAAGAAAAGGTGGACAGTTCTGAACACAATGACTAGTATTTATTATACAGTCTTTCTTTAAAAGGATGTATTGCTGTATATTTTGAATCCTCCCTCTACTCTGCACATGGCAATGCTTTTTTCTTTTCTTATTTTGTATTTAAGTTTACAATATGTTTCTTTTTCTTATTGTGTAAGTTTTTTCTATTTAAGTTTAAAATAAATTAATTTTTAAAAAGAGAAAAAAAAGAATCTCAGTGAGAGGTGATGAGACCCTGGCCTAGGGTATAGCAGTGATAGCTAAAGAAAGGGGAATGGTAGATTAATCAATTGATCTACAAGCATTTATTAAGCACTTACTATATACCAGGTGTTATCCAAGTTACTAGGGATAAAAAGATGAAAAAATGAAATAGTTCCTTACCTCAATGAGCTTATATTCTTTAGGGGAAACATCACGCATAAACACCATTATCATCATCATCATACCATTCATACACTTCCAAAGTATTTTACAAGTATTATCTCCATCAACCCTCATAGTGACTTTGGGAGGTAGGTGCTGTCATCATCCCCGTTTTAAGGATGAGCAGACTGAGACTGAGAGCTTTAGTGACTTGCCCAGGGTTATATAGCTAGCAGATGTCTGAGACAAGGCTGGAACTCTAAATCCAGCACTATTCACCAAGCCACCTACATGCCTATACAAGTAAATATAGAGGTTATTCAAATACAAAAGAATTGCAAGGGAAAAGTAACCTTCAGGGGAAGGAGGGTGCTAGCAGCTAACTGGTTCAGGAAGGGTAAGGAGGGAGGGAATTCCAGGGATGGAAGTTAGCCCATACAAAAGCAAGGAGGCAGGAGTTGTAATGTTGTGTGGGCAGAAAAGCAAGTAAGCTAGTTTGTCTGGGAGGCAGGGTGTGTGAAGAGTCATGTGTAAGGAGTCTAGAAGGGCAGGCTAGAACAGACCCTGAAGGGCTTTGGATGCAAAAAGAAGAGTTTTTACTTGAGGCTAGAGACAGGAGGGAGCAGATATCAATTTGTTAGAGAAGATTTAAAGGCAAAATCCTTTAAGTCAAGAATCATAGATTACCCAGGCAGACAGTGTATAGACCGAGTTATAGATAGAGTTGTCATTTGGGTAGATGGAGGAAATTCCCATGTAGAGAGTTCCCTAGTCCCACAAGGTCACAGATAAATCCTAAGAGATCCTTCCTGTATTCATGTATACCACCCAAAGTGCCTAGCATACTGAAGTGCACATAGTAGGTTCTCAAAACTACTGTTAATTAATGGCATTCCAGCCGTAGCTTTCAGTCAGTCAAGAAGCATTTATTAAGGACCTTCTATGTGTCAGGTACTGCACTAAGCACAGGGGATAGAAAGAAAGGAAAAACATCTTTTTTTTATAATCATCATTTTTTTCCTAATATGCTATGTTATTGAAATGTTTGTTTTATTTCTTAAGTTCAGAATAAAATAAATAAAATTAAGAAAAAATAAAAATAGGGGCAGCTAGGTGGTGCAGTGGATAGAGCACCAGCCCTGGAGTCAAGAGGACCTGAGTTCAAATCTGGCCTCAGACACATAATACTCACTGACTGTGTGACCCTTGGCAAGTCACTTAACCCCATTGCCTAGCAAAAACAAAAACAAAACAAAACAAGAAAAAAAAAAGAATAGATGCAATGGGAAAAAAAATGCCCACAGCCTCTGCTCCCCAGGAGCTCACAGTCCAATGGAGCAGAGACAGCAAACAAACAATTATGAACAAACAAGATATATCCAGGGTAGCCTGCAGATAACGTACAGGGGATGGCACTAGCAGTAAGCGAGAGATCAGGAAACGCTTCTTGGAGAAGGTGGGATTTTGACTGGGACTTGAAGGAAGCCAGGGAGACAGGAGGCAGAGATGAGGAGGCAGAATATTCTAGGCATGAGGCACACACAATTAAAATGCCTGGAGTCCAGAGATTGGAGTGTTTTGTTTGATGAACAGCAGAGAGGTCAGTGTCTCTCAGTACGTGGCAGGGAGTAAGTCAGTCACTCCTAACATCTTGAACAACCTTGTTTGGCAGCAATCACAATCCCATTTGCTGGGTGGGAGGCAGTGTCTCTAGAATGAAAATAACTGCCCATGGATCACAGTGTGGTCTGATGCAGCAGAAAGAGCATTGGTTTTAAAATCAGAGCTCATGGATTCAAATCTTGCTTCTGGTACTTAGCCATGTGACCTTGAGGAAGTTCCTCACCCTTCTTGGGCCTCAATTTCCCCTACTGTAGAATGGAAGAATTAGACTAGACAACCACTGAGGTCCTTTCTGGTTGGAAAACTGTGATCCCATGACCATACTCTAATGAGGGGAGGGGGTAAGCCACTGAGTTGACTTCTCTTTCTTTTTTTTTAGGTGGGAAACTAATGTATGAACAATTGCCAATGGTTGAAATTGATGGAATGATGATGGTACAAACCAGAGCCATCCTAAGATACATAGCTGGAAAATACAACTTGTATGGGAAGGATCTGAAGGAGCAAGTCCTGTACAGTAATCATTTTTTACATGTTTATAAGAAAACATAGAAATTTCTACTTAACAGTGGATTCAGACAAATGATTTGCCCAGGGTCATACCACCAAGTAGAGGTCAAAGGCAAAACTTGACCATAGGTCTTCCTGACTTCAGGGCCAGCTCTTTATCTGTTATTTCCCCTGCTTCTCAACGGAATTATGTTAAGAAAGTGTCTCCTTTTATGTAATGGACAAAGCAAGAATGTTCTTATCAGCATGTTACGAAAGTAAATACGTAAAATTGTAACTCCCTTTCCCAAATGATCTAAGTCCAAATCCTGATGTAGATATCTCTAGTAAATGGTATTATCAAAATGGGGAGCATTGAAAGGAGGAAATTAAATCACTAACTGCTTAATAGAGTGTTACTATAAAGGAATGATACTGGCTTTTGTAGGCTGCTTATCAATCAGTCAATATCTATTAAGTGCCTACTATGTGCTAATGCTGAAGATACAAAAAAGAGCAAAAAGACAGTCCCAAAGAGCTTACAATGGAATGGTTATGGAACTCAATCTTAACTTGATGAGCATGCTGGGAATACTTTCCTATTAATATGTTGTAATGGACTCGCCCACTCACAGATGCATAGATGACTTATTCAAAAAAGAAGAAATACTGGCTTTGGATCTCAAAATAGAATAACTATAATTTTAAAACCTTTTTTTATTGATTTGTAAAAGCATGAGTACAAAAACAATATGTAAATTCACTAACTCAGTGAAAGTGAATATGTTTTTAAAAAAATTAGCTTCTATGTTTATTAACTCATCATGGAGAGGCCATGCAACCCATATTGGATGAATTAATCCATCAACAAGTATTTATGAATTGCCTACTATGTGCTGGTTTGGACAGCTAGGTGGTACAGTGGATAGAGTGCTGGCCCTGGAGTCAGTAAGAATCATCTTCCTGAGTTCAAATCGGGCCTCAGACATTTTCTATCTATGTGACCCTGGGCAAGTCACTTAACCCTGTTTGCCTCTGTTTCCTCAAATATAAAATGATCTGGAAAAGGAAATGGCAAACCGTTCTAGTATCTCTGCCAACGAAACCCCAAATGGGGTCACAAGGATTCAGACCCGACTGAACAACAGCAACTTTATACTTTTAAAAGAGCATTTTCACATATTATATTTTATTTTATATGTAAAAAGAGCTTTAAAGCTTACAAAGCATTTTACATACATTATTTGATCGGAGTCTCTCAGTAATAGGATGAACTAGTAATCATATTTTTATTGGTGCTTCTTTCCTTTTCCAGTATTGACATGTATGTGGAAGGAATGAGAGATCTGTATGACATAATTATGCTTTCCCCATTGTCTTTGCCTGAAGACAAGGAGAAGAATTTTAGCTTTATCTCGGAGAAAGCCACGCAAAGATTCTTCCCAGTGTATGAGAAGGTATGGACCAATGGAGGCAGTGTGTGATCGACCTGCATATTCACTGAAATTACAAACACTTTCTCCACTGCAATCTCCAATGCAGTGAATACATGACAATGCAGAAACATTGGAGGTTCCGTGCTACAGAAGAAAGACCATTGGCTCTGTAGACAGAGGATCTGAGTTCAAATCCTGCCTCTGACACTTATTAATTACTTGTAGAAATGTGGGCACCTGACTTGGTAACCCTGCACAGTTTCCTAAGCTTTACAAAGTAAGGCAGCAATATACAGTGGATAGAGTGCTGGACTTGGAGTCAAGAAGACCTTAGTTCAAATCTTGCCTCTGACACTTACCAGCTGTGTGACCCTGGGCAAGTCACTAGTCCTATATGGGCCTCAGTTTCTTCATCTGTAAAAGAAGGGAGTTGGACTTAATGACTCCTAAGGTCACTTCACCTCTATAATCTATGATCCTATGAATTCATAAAGAGCTGGAGCTAGATAAGATAGGTAGCCACTTAAAATACAACATGCAGGGTGTTGCAAGAGAGATGTTTGTTGGGGCAGCTAGGTGGTACGGTGGATAGGCAGACTTAGTTCTGACTAAATCATTTAATACGCACCCATTAAATACATAGGGAGACCAAGAACCTCAACCTAGCCACAGCCATTTATTAAAGAGCCAGCTATACACCAGAGACTATGCTCAGCACTGAGGACACAAAGGCTAAATGAAATAGAGCCTGCCCTCAAGGAGCTTACATTCTATAGGGAGATACAACATTTATACCTGAAAGGGTGTGTATGCACAGGCACAGAGAGTTGTCATTGAGTCATTTCAGCTATGTCCAACCATTCATGAATCTATTTTGAGGTTTTCATGGCAAAGATATTACAGTGGTTTGCCATTTCCTTCTCCAACTCATTTTGTACATGAGGAAATGGAGTTAAATGACTTACTCAGGATTACATGACTAATAAATATCTGAAACCTTATTTGAACTCATGAGGATGTCTTTCTGATTCCAAGCCCAGTGCTCTATCCATTGTGTCACCTGTCTGCAGACAGATAGATAGATAAATATATGTGTGTATATATATACACACACAATTATGTGTACTATAAATGCATATGTACATATGTGTGTATATATTGAGTAGATATAGCTATATAAATATAGATATACATACACACAAAAATATATACAAGATAATTTGGGAAGACCTTTAAGCTAAGCTTTGAAAGAAACTAGGAATAATATGAAGGTCAAAGTAAAGAGAGAATACACACCAGGCTTGGGGGCCAGACTGTGCAAATGCATGGGGTCAGGAAGATGTCTTGTGTGAGGAATAGGAAGAAGGCCAGTTTAGCTGTACTTTAAACTGTGTGAATGGGAGTGATGAAAAGTTAAGGCTGGAAAGGGAGGTTTGAGTCAGGCTATAAAAAAGCTTTAAATGCTGTGATAATAGCATCTTACATTTATTAAGTGTTTTATGATTGTTAAATACTTTAGAAGTATTATTTTATCTCATTCTCCTAACAACCTTAGGTGAACAGTGAACGTTTCACCCCCATTTTATGGATGAGCAAATGGAGGCTCAGGGAGTGCAGTGACCTGCCCAAAGTCACCCAGTAAGTGGCAGTGCTAGAAGGAAAATCAAAATCTTTCATACTTCAGGTTGACGGCTTTTTTCTCTATGCCATTTTCCCCTTCTGCATTTCATCTATAATATTTCTTTATTAAATTATTAGACTGTGAGGTTGTAGGTCATAGTTTCATTGAATTAGAAGAGGCAGCATGATGTAATAGAAAAAAATACTGCTATTTTCTAGTTGTATACCTTGGACAAGTCACTTGAACCCCAATAGGCCTCCATTTCCTCATTAGTCAAATAAAGGAGTTGAACCAGGTGATCTCCAGGCTCCTTCCCCAACTAAATCCTATGATCCTGAGTGTCCATGAAATGAATGTTTTGCACAAATATTCATTTGTGTCTCCATGTGTCATATTTAGCTTATTTGTCTGTACATTTTAGTATCCTCTGCCTGCTAGGTTACAAGTTCCTGGATGGCAGAGACTAGGTTGGTTTTAGCCATCACCATACACACTGCCTTGCATGGAGGAGACATTTAATGAATGTTTATTTGTCTGTTAAACAATGACCAAAACAGAAGTTTGTTGTACCACTACCCAAATTTCCTCTGTTTTGGAAGAAAAGATATCTATCCATGGGTCAGGCAGTTTTGACTGATGGTGAAAGCTAATTCACTGAATCCATCGTAGGAGAATATCTTTAGAAATATTTGGGAGTTTAATCCTTAATTAAAAAAAAAAAGGTGTTGTGTTAAAAAAGGATTTTAGAAACAGCATAATTTACAAGTCTTGAGGATAGATTGTCAACACAACCTGAAGATGTGGTCAACAGACGATCCCATTGGTCTCCTAATATGGGTAAAGGACAATGGGAAAAAAGGGAATCAGGTTATATTGTAGCCTGGGTCTAGGATATGTCATGTGTTTTACTGATTGCCATAGCTAGAAGAGACCTTAGCTTGTCCGTGGGATTTGTAAATTTTATTTTTGAAGTTTTGTGAGTTTTCTGTAAGCTTAAAAGTGTTTCCTTATAGCTGAAATATTTTCCATTTCATCAAAAAATAATTATTTTTCCTTCCCTTTTTTTCAAACTCTTTTCCCCTCTCTTTTCTTCAGTGGAAGTGCTTTCCCCCAGTCCAGGATTTGCTGGGTTTTGCTCTCTTTTGTGATTCACTTTTATTGCTAATTCAGTGACTGCTGTAGTATTCCAAATGTATCATGCAACATGACTGCCTGTGGGTTGTTGCCTACAAAGCTATTGACTGTTGCTAGTATGTGCTGCTTAGAGTTCTGTGTTATTGATTTCACAGTTGTTGAATTGCATGTGGCCCTGAATTTATTGCTAATGCCTGCTGTATAATTTGTTATTGCTTCTGTGTGTGTATGTGCCTTTTAGTTTTCATTGCTACCCACTACTATATGTTTTTGTTTGCATTGGCACTAGTGCTTTGCTGAATACATTTTAAATAGAATTTAAACAAAATGGAGGTCAAGATTTTAGAGATTTAGTGTGCAGTGATACCAAGAAAAACTCCAAAGCGATTTTTAATTGTAGTAATAGAATTTGACCATAAAAATAAGGCCATTGTAAAAGTATTGAAGAGTATTATAAAGGATTTAGGCTAAATATGAGGTGATCACTGACAGGTATGAGTAGAGAAATAACACCCTATCTATTTTCTGTAATTTGTAAGAAATAATTACTCATTCACTAATTCCTGATGTGATCAGAAATTAAGAGATTACTTGGCTACCAATTCCTAAGCCTCCCTCTGAAGAAAGGAGGAAGGAAAAATGGAAGGAAAGAAGAAGAGAAGGAAGAGAGGGAGGAAAGAAGAAAAAAAGGAGGGAAGAAGGGAGGAAAGAAGGATGGAAGGCACTAAGGGAGGGAGGTAGAAAAAAGCTTGTGTTTATTAAAAAATTTTGTTTTGTAACCTAGTATTTCTCTCCCTCACACGGAGTAATGTGCACTGAGGAATACAGGAAGAAAGGAAGGAAATAAGCATTTATTAAGCATCACCTAAGTGCCAAACACAGTGCTAAATGCTTTACAAACATTTTCTCATTTGGTGCAATAACCTTGGGAGGTAGATACTATTATTATCCCCATTTTTCATCTGAAGAAACTGAGGCAAACAGAGATTAAATGACTTGCCAGAGGTCACAATCACTAGTGTCAGAGATTGAATTTGAATTCTGGTCTTTGCTTCAGATCCAGTCTACTATCCACTTTGCCCCCTAACAGCTTTGAGTAGCTTAGACTTGGTGCTTAGATAGTCAGAGAGGCTTTAGAGTAGATGAACTGAAGTTCCTCATCAAGCCTGAAAAAGATACTGTAGTCCAGGGAGCTAGACCTTCCCCCACAGGGATATCACAGTCCTAAGTTAAGGTCTTCTCAGGAAAGGATCCAAAGCCCTTTGGGGAAGAATCACTTGAAGCAGGTGGTAAGCACTTACAGCACTGTGAATCAACTGACATGGGAAAAAAGGTAGTTCAACCAACTTTGTTTACAGATGAGGAAACTGAGGCCTTGAGAATTATTCAAAATCACAGAGCTAATGACTAGTCCAGTCACAAAAAGAATCCAGGTTCCCTAACTCCTGGCTCAGTATTCTTGTTTTTTAAAATTGTCTTTGAAACCCTAGGTTCCATAACTCTCTCTGTCTCTCTGCCTCTGTCTCTCTGTCTCTGTCTCTGTCTCTCTTTCTCTCTGTCTCTGTCTCCCCCCCCCCATAATGGGGGGATGGAATTATTTCACTTGTAAGTATATATCAGGTTGCACTTTTTAATTATAAACTTAACAATACTCAACTAGAACTTTTCAATATATGTAAACTTCAATTCAGTAAACATTTATTAAGCAACTACTATGTGCCAGGCACTGTGCTGAGTGCTGGGGATACAAAAGAGGAGAAAGGCAGCCCCTGCCCTCAAGGAGCTTACAATCTAATGGGAGAGACAAAATGCAAACAAATATGTCCAAGGCAAGCCGTATGTAGCATAAATAGGAAATAATTAACAGGGCTTGTAATGTACTCTATGCCTGGACCATTGCAGTAACTTGCTGGTTGGTCTTTCTGCCTTAAGTCACTCCCCAGCACAGGGCATCTTCCCCTTAGCTGTCAAATTGAACTTCCTTAAGCTCTGGTCTGACCACGTCATCTCCCCACACCCAACCCATTTCAGCAAACTCCAGTGGCCCTCTATTGCCTCCAGTATCACATATAAAGACATCCCTTTATGACCTAGTCCCTTCCTACCTTTCCAGCCCTTCTTAAAGCTCACCCTCCTTACACTGGCCTCCTTAGAGATCCTGGAACAATTATTCCATGGCCCTGTAAGCATTTTTCCTGGCTGTCTCCCTTGCCTAGAACCTTCTCCCTCCTCATGTTGCCTCTTGATTTCTCTGGCTTCCCACCAAGTCTCAGGTAAAGTCCTGCCTTCTGCAAGAAGAATTTCCTGGTCCTCCATCCTCCTGAGAGTATGTCTAATTCATCATGTATATATCATTTATGCATCGTTGTCTATGCATTGCTTACCCCATTAGACTGGGAGCACCTTGAGAGCAGGGACTGTATTTTACCTCTCTTTGTGTCCCCAGCACTTAGCACAGTGCCTAGTGTATATATGGTAGGTGCTTAATAAATGTTTGTTGAATGAATTAATAGTATAATGGAAAGAGCAAAAACAAAGAGAACAATTTAGAAGAGGACACAAACAAATAGAGAAATTATTACGACCTTGTTAGTCAAGAAACATTTGTTAAATGCCTACCATATGCCAGGCACTGTGCTAAGCACTGGGGATACAAGAAGAGGCAAAAGATAGTCCCTACCCTCAAGGGGTTTCCAATCTAAAGAAGGAGACAACATGCAAACAAATATATACAAAGTAACCTATGTACAGGATACATTTTATCGTTCAATCGTGTCTCACTAGGGGTTTTCTTGACAAAGATACTGGAGTGGTTTGCCATTTCCTTCTCCAGCTCATTTGACAGATGAGGCAACTGAGGCAAACTGGGTGAAATGACTTGCCCAGGATCACACAGCTAGTAAGTGTCTGAGGCCACATTTGAACTCATGTTTTCCTGATTCCAGGCATGGCTTTCTATCCAATGTTCCACCTAGCAGTGCACAGGATAAATAGGAAATAATTAAAAGAGAAAACACTGGAATTAAGAGGGGTTGGGGAAGGCTTTTTGTAGAAGATTGAATTTGAGTTGGGACTTGAAGGAGGTAAGGGAAGTCAGTTGTCAGAGTGGAGGAGGGACAGTGTTGCAGGCATGGGGCATGGCCAGAGAAAATGCCCTGTCTCCTAATAAATATGCTGTCTTCAAGAAATGTGCTCTATATTCCCACAAATTCTCTCCCTTCTCTCCTTGTCATTTATCCTATAGGCATTAAAAGACCATGGGAAAAATTACCTTGTTGGCAACCAGCTGAGCTGGGCAGATATCCATCTACTTGAACTCATCTTAATGGTTGAAGAATGCAAGTCTGATGCTCTCTCGGCATTCCCTAAACTGCAGGTAATTCCATCAAAAACCTTCACTATAAATATTGCAAATATCTATTGATGTACATGTCCTCTTCCCCATTAGAATGTAAACTCCCTGCAGGCAGGGATAGTTTCTGCTTTTTCTTTGTATCTCCAGCACAGTGCTGAGCACATAGTAAGTGATCAATACATGCTTGTTTAAAAGATCTGGAATTTCCTCTGTGTACCATTCCTCCAAGAACAGAAATCCTTAGATAGTCTTCATGAGTTACTGTGGCCCAGACCAAACATCTGTAGTCCACTTTTCAGATGATGAGACTCTGACCTTAGCTGGATGTCTTTTCAGATGGTAGGGATGAAGACCATTGGTGAGCCCAGAGCTCAAATCCTTTCCAGCAATTAAGGAAGTAAAAATTTATACATTTTAAAAGAGAAGGCTATTTCCTCATATATTTAATATATTCATATCTGAAAAGTAGAGGCCCTACAAAATTGCAGAGCAAGAAGTTCCTGAGGACTTTCAAATGTTACTGCCCACAGGATGAAGATGCTTGTTACAGCTTTAGCACAGGATGAAATAGCTTCCAAAGGGTCTTGGCAAGGCATCCCTGTGGCCCTGTTCCAAAACTGCTACATTTATAGTTGGTGTCATTTATTTTTCATTTTAGGAGTTCAAAGCTAGAGTCAGCAAACTCCCCAGGATTCAGAAATTCCTTCAGCCTGGTAGTCCAAGAAGGCCACCCATGGATGAAGCAAGTCTTGAAGCTGCAAAGAAGATATTCAAGTTTGAAAAAGGCTTGCTTCTTAAATATTCGAGCACCATATTAGCTGAATTCTAGTCATGCTCACAAAAAATACTAGGATGTGCTCCTGCAGCATTTCTAGTTTCAGTAACTAATAAATATGATGCCTCCTTATAGAGTTTGTTATTAATTGTAAAACCTAATCTTTATATTGCTTATTATAAAACTTAGTTTGATTAGAAAAACACTCAGGCAGAGCTCCAAGCCAATAGCACTTTACCAAAGGGTCCATGGCTCCCTCCAATGAAGTGGACCTGAGATTTTCCTCACAATCTGAGATGCCTCCTTTCCCCAGGGTCTTACTTTTATTGGGTTTGCAAACATGCAAAAGAGGAATGGTAAATTTCATAATCTTATTGGTTGGTAGATCTTGACTTTGACTCTCCAGGAGAGCCAGAAATGATGCATCAGAATGGGTGGTCACAAGAGGGCCAGGCAAGGGTCATCTGTGCTGACTAGGGGGTCATAAGATGGTTACCTGCTCATGTTGGGCAAGAGAGGGTGGAGGTACAAAAACAAATTGGGGGACTTTCCATATCATGCCACTATGGAATTTGAGTGAAACAGGATGGAGATATCTGTAATCATTGTGCAAGTGAGCTTCATAATTAGTAAACATGGTGAACATCGGATTCAAGTTTGAGGCCTGCTCTATAGAACTTATAATCACTACGCCTATAGAATCATATCATACTGATCAATACTGATTGAAATAAAATAGGGGCCTAATTGATCATCTATCACATTTGCCACTGGACTTGGGTGACTGGAAAAGAAAGGGAGATTAAACTCTTTGGTAACTCAGCTGTACTTAAAGCCAATTCACGAGCAAGTCAAGACATCACCTGTGATATCATTGGTCCTCTTCAAAAACAGAGGATGAACAACAACATTTTTTCTCTGCTCCTGGAAGATAAAACAAAAGGAATCTATAATTCTCTTTCTTGCCTGCCCCCCTTAAGCCCTGAGCCACCAGTCAGAGACAGCACTCTGCAAATAAATGCCTCAGTTTTAAATCTCTCTATCTCCTCTCCTGGGATACTCCCCCCTTCAATTGTCTCCTCTCAAATGCAGTCCCAGAAGATACACACAAACCAACAAATAAATGTCCAAAACAAAGAAAGGCAAGCAGATTTTTCTCATACCCAGAGAAAAAGACATCAGGCTATCATGATGGAAGCCCAAAGGCTTATGAGATCATAGGTTGAAATGAAAAAAGAAACGGGGCAGCTAGTCGGCACAGTGGATAGAACTGGATACAGGAGAAAGTGAGTTCAAATCCATCCTCAGGCCCTTGAGACTTATTAGCTCTGTGACCCTGGGCAAGTCATTTAACCAGGATTGTCTGTCTGTCTGTCTGTCTGTCTGTCTGTCTCTCTCTTTCTCTCTCTCTCTCACACACACACACACGAAAGAAATGATTGAAATTCATTTTTGAAAGTAAAATAATTATTCTGAATGAAAATTGAAAAAATGAAAAGGAAATAAAATTTAAAATGATTTTGAGTTTTAAAAAGACTTATTATGGAAAAAATTCATGTTCAACCTGGATTTCTCCTGCTACATACACAGTGCCTTACGTATTAGAGGATCTCAAAATAATTTTTATTGCTATGAAATACTATCCCTCAGTTTTTCTGGCCACATGTATAGGCAAAGAGTGGAACCCAAAAAAACCCTTTTGTGCTTCCAAAAAAATAAAAATCCAACGACTTGAATTTGGCAAACTACAAGTTAATGAAACCTTATCCCGCTGACCTACAAAAAGAGAAAGATAATGGAATCATAGACTCTTAAGTATTTGGTCTCTTCACTCAAACCTCAGGGGCAGGTTTGAGCTAGCCAATTCAGTAGAGGTCAGTTTAAAAAAAATTTCATTTTTCTCTTTAAGTTTTAAATCCTTGAAAATACAAAGGTTCTGTGATTTCTTCAGTGTGGTGATTTGCTCCATCAGTGCAGATCTCAATCTATGACAGTAGGAAAAAAAAAAGCCCAGTGCAATTGCTAAAGAGCTTAGGTGACTTGTCCAGGGTCACACAGCCAGTCAGTGCCAGAGAGGGAATTTAAACATAGGTATTCCTGACTCTGGGCCCAGGGCTCTATGGGATGTTCCACCCTGCTTCTAAAGTTTAACATATAACCAGTTTGATTAAGCTTCGCTTGAGTACACTTATTTGTTCTGACAGGGGATTCTAGTGGGAGTGGACAAAGAAAGTGGGAAGTGATGGTGATGTAAACAGAAAAAAGAAAAATATCAACCATAATTAAAGCATTTTAAAGGAAGAAATATTACTGCCTTGGGACTGGGTAGGGTGAGGGAGGTTGTCAAAGTAAACATTATAGGTCAAAGCTTTAGGGCTGATCAGCAGGAGGATTTGGTTAACAAGCTGCTGCTGCACATCTAGCCTAGGGGAGATAGAGGTAGGGAGGGGAGGAGGAAGGGAACAAGTATTTATTAAGTGCCTACTGTGTACCAAGCACTATGCTAAATTGTAGGGATACAAAAGGAGGCAAAAGACAGTCCTTGCCCTAAACGAACTTATAACCAACAAGCATTTGTTAAGTACTATGGGGCAGTTAGGTGGCACAATGGATAGAGCACTGGGGCTAGAGTCAGGAAGACCTCAGTTCAAATTCCACCCCAGACACTGTGTGTGACCTTGGGCAAGTCACTTAACTTTGCCTCAGTTTCCTTATCTGTAAAATGAGCTGGAAATGGCAAACTACTCTAGTATCTCTAATAAGAAAACACCAAAAGAGGTCATGAAGAGTCAAATACAAATGAACAACAAACCCAGCTGGAAGGGAGGAGATAAGTCTGGAGAAAGGCCTACAAGGAGAGGGCTGGTCAAGTGGACTTCGGGTAGGGCTCAGTCCAGGTTCCAGATTGGAAGCCAGAAAATGGTGTACATCCTTTCTAGCTTCTAGAGCTCCTGAGAATTAATTGGCCATCCGTACCTAGAGTTGGGCAAATTTCTCAACTTCCCCAGTGAAGATCAGTTCCTATTTCAGCTGCCCCTACCCCTTGCAGGTACCCTAAAATGACTAACTGAGGTTAACCTCCATCGCTAACCTGATGAATAATGTGATTTCAGTGGAAGTGGGAAAGTTTCCCTAACAATCATGCCTCCCTATCTGATTAGGATGCCTGGAATTTCTTTCATAACAGAAAAGGCCTTTCAGACTAAAGTCTGATGGAGGCAGCCCACAGATTGAAACTCATTTCTATGAATAGAAGTTTAAAAAAATTAAGAAAATTAAGCATAGAAGATGGGCCACTAAGTGGCACAGTGGATAGAGCTTTGAGCCTGGGGGTTAGAAAGACCTTAGTTCAAATCCCATCTCAGACACTTACTAGCTGTGTGACCTTGGGCAAGTCACTTAACCCTGTTTGCCTCAGTTTCCTCATCTGTAAAATGAGTTGGAGAAGGAAATGGCAAATCACTCTGGTATCTTTGCCAACAAAACCCCAAATGGAGTCAAGAACAGTTGAACACAACTGAAATGACTGAACAACAACAGGCCTAGATAATAGATATCCAAAGCCTTTGAGAGATAGGGTTAAGATAGTGATCATAAATTTAGAGCTGCAGGGGATCTTTATGGCCATCTAGTTGAACCCCTTCATTTAATGATGAGGAAACTGAGGCCCAGAGGCACTTGAGTGACTTACCCAAAGTCACACCAAAATGGCAGAACTGAGATTTGAACCCAGGACCTCTGACTCCTAATCTAGCCTTCTTTTCATGCTGTTTTACATAATTCCCCCAACTTTTGTCGGCTTAAATTGAATTTCACCAATGAGTTTAATGTTCTTTTATCAAAAACATAAAACCATGAAGATGCAAATGCCCAGAATTTTTTTAGGTAAACCAAAAGCTGTTGTCCCTTGCACAGAACACTCTATCTCCGGACTGTAGGCATTTTCACTGGCTGGCCCCCATACCTGTATTCTTTCTCTCTGCATCTTCCCTCCACGCCTCCCTATCTTTCTTCTCCTAGCTAAAATCCTGCCTTCTCTAGGAACCTTTCTCAATCCCTCTTAATCTCCAATTTATCTTGTATACATCTAGTTTGTACACAGTTTGCATGGTGTTGCTTCCATCTGACTATTCAGCATAAGGGCTGGTTTTTCTGCTTTTCTTTGTATTCCCAGAGCTTAGTAGCACAGTGTCTGGCATACAGTAGGTGCTTAATAAACGCTTGCTGACTGTCTGCCGGATTTCAGTTTCTAGAGCAGGGGTTTTTAACTTGGGGTTCATGGTAACACAGGTAATAAGCAACAGAGCCAGGACTCAAAGCCAGGTCCTCCAGCTTCAGGTCTAGCACTCTTTCTGCTGTCCCCCCTCCCTAGCAGTGTGAGGGGCCTGGATGCTGGAATCACAGAATCTCAGAGGGGGAAGAGACCTCGTAAGTCACCCAGTCCAGCCTATACCTGAACGCATCCAACCTGTGCTTTATGGTCTTCCTCAAGGCTACCATAAAGCTCTCCCTAACCACTCCAGCCATTAAATTCTCCAAAATCCAGCACTGCCACTTATGTCAGGTGCCATGCTGGCTGGTATACTCATGGTTGTGTGTGTGTGTGTGTGTTATGCTTTTGTCTCCAACTCTATGGAACTAGGGACCACGATCGCTACTTCTTCTATAGCCCCCAAAGTGTAAATTAAGGAGCACCCAATAGGTGTCCAAAAAAAATTCAACTAATTTTACTCATCACCACCATCCCATGTAACCTCTGCTACCTCTCACTTGAGGAAGAGGTACACCGAGAGAACAGAAAAGGGGAACTGAGGACACTAAAGGCAAACATCTCAGATCTTACAACTTCGATATGGATTATTAGCCCTGTCCACTGAGAGATGTGTATCTTTACAAGATAATAATAAAAAGCTAACATCTCTAGAGTGCCTAGAATGTGCCATGGGGCAGGTAGGTGGGGCATGGCGGATATCAAGTACTGGATCTGAAGTCAGGAAAATTCATCTTTCTGAGTTCAAATCTGGCCTCAGACACTAGCTGTATGACCCAAGGCAAGTCACTTAACCCTGTTTGCTCAGTTTCCTCATCTTTCAAATGAGCTGGACTTTGGGTAAATCCCTCAAGTCCCTCTGGGCCTCAGTTTCCTCATCATTAAATGAAGGGGTTCAACTAGATGGCCAAAAAGATCCCCTGCAGCTTTTCAAATAGCAAACCACTCTGGTATCTTTGCCAAGAAACGCAAATGAGGTCACAAAGAGTCGAACACGACTGAAATGACTAAACAACATGGACCAGGCACTATGTTAAGTGCTTTACAAATATTATCTCATTTGGTGTCTTTATCAATCCTGAGAAGTAGGTACTATTATTATTCCCATTTTCCAGATGAGAAAACTGAGGCAAACATAGTTGAAGTGACTTGCCCGGGGCCATACTGCTAATAAGAGTCCAAGGGTGGATTTGAAATCTGACCCAGTCCTCTATCCATTGCAGCAGGGAGCTAGAAGGGATCTCCAAGGCCATCTAGTCCAACTCTTTTATTTTACAAATGAGGAAACTGAGGCCCAGAAGGGCTAAATGATTTGAGCAGCATCCTAAAAGTTGTAAATGGGATTTGAACCTTCTGACTGCAGATCCAATGAGCTTTTCCTTTGTATTATTTGTCATCTGATATGGAAACAGCCTAGCAGGAATGGGAGTGCTGGAACCTTTCGTGTATTACTTAAAAACTCTGTAACAAACTGGGGAAGCACATTTGGTGGCTTTGGATGCCATAAACCCAATTTGTTTTTGTCGTCTCAAAACAGTCATACAAAATATCTCCAACTCTTTGCTGTGTAAAACTCATGCATTTAGTTCATGATCACTGATGAAGAGGAGACCTTTGAGATCATTTAGTACAGCTCCCTCATTTTGCAGATGAGGAAACTGAGTCCCCGGAGAGGTTTAAGTGACTTACAGATAATAAGTGGCAGAACTGGGATTTGAACCCAGGACTTCTGATTCCTAATTCAGCACTCTTTTCACTCGACCATAGTACTGCTTTGCAAATATGCTGTTTGTAGAATTTCCCCCAGCTTTTATCAGCTTAAATTTAATTTTGCCAAACATTTAATGTTCCTTTGCCAAAAACAAAGTCACTAAAGATGCACATTTGCAGCAATTTTTTATGCAAACCAAAAACCTTTTTAGGTTCTAGATCATGGGTTCTTAAGCTGGCATCCATGGATCCCCAAGGGGTTTGTAGGTAGAATTCAGGGGGGGTTCATGAACTTGGATGGGAAAAAATTAAATTTTTATGTCCCCTAACTTTTAACTGAAATCCAGCATTCCTTCAATTATGAATTTTTTTAAAAAAAAATCATTCTGACATGGAATCTGTTGGTTTCACAAGACACCAAAGGGGTCCAGGGCACAAAAAAAAGGTTAAGAAGTCCTGTTTTGGAGAACCATAGGATTTAGAGATGGAGGCCTAGTACAATTCCTGGCACATAGTAGGCACTTAATAAATGCTTGTTGACTTGACTTGACTTGGAAGAGGCATTAGTGATTATCTTGTCCAATTCCCTGATTATACTGAGGAGAAAAATGAGATTCAGAGACTCAAGATCAAATATCAAAACTAGGGATTTAAATCCTGATTCCAAGATCTGATCTCTTTCAATTACACACTATATTTCACCACTGACTGAATACCTACCTACCACCTTACAATACATTGTGCTCCTAAGGTAAGAAATACAGTTTACATAAAAATTTTGCAATTTTGGGGGGGTTTTGTTGTTCAGTAATTTCAGTTGTGTCTGACTCTTTATGATCCCATTAGGAGTTTTCTTGGCAAAGATAATAGAGTGGTTTGCCATTTCCTTCTCCAGTTTATTTTACAGATGAGGAAACTGGGGCAATCAGGGTTGAGTGACTTGTCCAGGATCACACAGTGTCTAAGGCAGATTTGAACTCACGGCTTTCTGACTCCAGGCCCAGTGCTCTATCCACTGCTAAGTCTATACAATGTGCAACAGAATCAAAGGCCTCTCTCAAAACTCAAAAGAGATGACATCTATACTAAAATGAACAAAAAAGCTTTTCTTCTTTTGCAGGAAACTTGCTTAACATCAAAGAATGTCAGAGTTGCAAGGATCTTTAAGATGACCTAGTCATCCCCTTCATTCTACAGATTAGGAAATCAAGACTGAGAGAGGAAGCATGACTGCCCCAAGGTCACACAGCTGGTTAATAGCAAAGCCAGGCATAGGCCCAAGCTCTCCTGTCACTGGTCAAATACACTTACAAAGCAGCATTTGACATTTAAGGTGACCTTTATATCCCGTGACAAAGAAGCAACTAAAGAAAGGTCACTTTTCTCCATCTTTACTGATTCCCAGAAAAATGGCTTCTGAAGAAATGGAGAAACTTTTGGCTTAAATATTTGGCATGGCCTGATAGAGAGAACATTGGATTTGAAGTTTGGGGGTTTCATTTCTGTCTCTGACACTATAGTTCTGTGACACGAGGCTGGTTTCTTAGGCTCTCTCAGCCTCATTTTTCTCCTCTATAAAATGGAAAGAATAATATCCCCCTCACAGGAGGATAAAATGTTATAGTGTATATGGTGTTGCTGTTCAGTCATTTTAGTTGTGTCTGACCCTTCCTAACCCCATTTGGGGTTTTCTTGGCAAAGATACTGGAGTGGTTTCCATTTCCTTCTCCAGCTCATTTGACATGAGGAAATTGAGGCAAAGAGGGTTAAGTGACTTGCCCAGGGTCACACAGCTAATAAGGATCTGAGGCCAGATTTGAACTCTGGAAGATGAATCTTCCTGACTTCAGGCCCAGCACTCTATCTACGTCATCACCTAGCTGCCCTTTATTGTATTTAAGGCATAGTGATTATTTTTTTCTCGTTTAACCAAACTCCTCTCGTAAATTAAATTAAAACTTACATATCTCACAAAATAATGACATTAGAAACAGATTTAAAATAGAAGAACTTTTATTTGAATATTAGTTACACTCTGCTCCTATATCCAGTGTATGCAGAGGGTGGAATAAAATTTAAAATTCAGGACACAAGTATTTCCTATGCAGCTTATAAGACAGAGACTAGGACAGTGAGTTAGTTTTTTAGTCAAACCACACATAAGGCATCATATTAACTGACAAGTTTTACTGTCATGTAAACTTTTGTTTGGTGACTCAGTGTTTGGAATTTTCAGTAAACAAATATAAAAGACTTTTAAAATTTATAAAGGTGTACAATGACTTTGCACCTTCTACAGTGATAAATAAAAGGAGGGGAAATGAGATCAATGAGACATGGTTCATTAAGTACCCTTTAGGAACAATGATTATCAACTAGAAAACAGCTGAAAACTTTTTTGGTTCAAAAAAAATCTTGTAAACTAATGCTAATATGAGAAGTGTCAGTTTGTTTGTTGTTATCTTTTTCCTTACAGATGCTTGATATTTCTTGTTGAAACTTATCTTTCAAGTACAAAGAACATACTTAGTTTGCTGTGGTAGAAGGATGGGAATTAAGTTCTTGGTAGCTGGGGATTCTCATATGAGCATCAAGATGAGTCTCAAAATCATCAAGAGGCTGTTTTAAAAGAAAAGAAATCCAATGTAAGTGCAAATAATTGATACAAAACGTAAAGACAAAAAAATCAGTCCAGAGGCAACTAGATAGGGTGCCAGGCCTGATACAGAAGATAATATTTATAAAGGGTTTAGCAAATCTTAAAGTACTATATAAATGCTAGCTATATATATGTGTTATATATAATGTCCATGTGGTTTGTGCTATATTATATATGTGGGTTATATATGATACAGGATATATACACACACACACATGTTCATTTTTTTTCAGTTATGTCTGACTCTTTGTGACCCTATTTGTGATTTTCTTGGTAAAGATACTAGAATGGTTTGCCATTTCCTTCTCCAGCTCATTTTACAGATGAGGAAACTTGAGGCAAACAGGGTTAAGTGACTTGTTTAGGGTTACACAGCTAGTAAGTGTCTGAGGCCAGATTTGAACTCAGTAAGATAAGTCTTCCTGACTCCAGCCTCAACACTATCTACTTTGCCATGTAACTGCCTAAATTTATACATGCGTGCATGTATGTGTACATATATACACATATGTATGCATATGCATATTGTGATATATAGTAAGTTGGAAGTGTATATACATATATATGTGTATATATGCATACACATGTGATTGTACAATATACTACTATTATAGTATACTGTACTAGATAGAATACAAATAAGATATCAACAGAATAAATTAGAGATAATTAGGCCTATAATGTAGATATTTTGTTGGTACAAAGTTGTTTGCATGTCGTCACCATCATTACAATATGAGCTCCTTGAGGGCAGGGAAATTTTGACTTTAACGATTTGCTGATTGTAAACTAACTGACTGATGGACTTACATTGGATAAATCAGGTTTCCCAGGCATGGGAGAACTCAGACTTCATTAGCATACTGGCATGGAAAATCTTATGGGAATTTAAAGAGATTATGGTTTCAAGATTTCCCAATTGATAAATGGTCAAAGGATATGAACAGGTAGTTTTCAGAGGAAGAAATTAAGGCTATCTATAGTTACATGAGAAAATGCTCTAAATCACTATTGATTAGAGAAATGCAAATCAAAACAACTCTGAAGTACCACATCACACCTATCAGATTGGCTAACATGACAAAACAGGAAAATTATAAATGTTGGAGAAGATGTGGGAAAATTGAAACACTAATGCATTACTGGTGGAGTTGTGAACCGATCCAATCATTCTGGACAGCAATTTGGAACTATACCCAAAGGGCTATAAAATTGTGCATACTCTTTGACCCAGCAATGCCACTTCTAGGTCTGTATCCCAAAGAGATCATAAAAATGGGAAAAGGACTCACATGTACAAAAATATTTATAGCAGTTCTTTGTGTGGTGGCAAAAAATTGGAAATTGAGGGGATGCCCATCAATTGGGGAATGGCTGAACAAGTTGTGGTATATGAATGTAATGGAATACTATTGTGCTATAAGAAATGATGAGCAGGCAGACTTCAGAAAAACCTGGAAAGACTTGTATGGACTGATGCTGAGTGAAGTGAGGAGAACACTGTACACAGTTAACAGCCACATTGTGCGATGACTAACTTTGATAGACTTAGCTCTTCTCAGTAATGCAAAGATCTAAGACATCTCCAAAGATCTCACGATGGAAAATGCTATCTACATTCAGAAAAAGAACTATGGAGTCTGAATGCAGACGGAAGCATACTGTTTGCTCTCCTTTTCTTCTGTTGTTATGTTTTGTTTCTTCTTTCTCGTGGTTCCTCCCATTGGTTCTAATTCTTCTTGACATCATGACTAATATGAAAATATGCTTAATGTGAATGTATAAGCAGAGCCCGTGTCAGATTGCACACTGTCTTGCGGAGGGAGGATAGGGACGAAGAGAAAATTGAAAACTCAAAATCTTAAGGAAGTGAATGTTGAAAACTAAAAATAAATAAATAAATTATTTAAAAAAAATAAAGCTAGTAGGTCAAGGAAATGCCATCTCTTGCAGGAAATATGGCTTGATCCAACAACAGAAAATGATCTCTTTTTCCTATGAATTTACACATAACTTCTGTCTCTGTTATCTTATGATTCTAGTGAATGAGAGTATAGTCACTGTAGAGTAAGTACTACATGTCTGTGAATGCCCTATTCCCCACCCCCACCACCACCACTAGATGGTAAGGCTCATGAGGATAAAGCCAAATCTCAGTAACCTCTCTCTCTTCCCTAGCACCTGGTACTGTGCTTTGTGCATGGTGGCTACTTAATGAATGAATGAATGAAAGCTTTTAATACCACCTCAAAAATCCCCCATCTGCCGAGTATTTTCTTCTACCTCCCACATACCTGGACAGAATTCTCTCCAAGCCTCAGCTAAAATCCCACCTTCCGCAAGAAACTTTCCCCAGTTTCCCTTAATGCTGGTGCCCTTCCTCTGAGACTGTCCCCAATTTACCCTGTATAGATCTCAAATGTACGTAGTTATTTATATATTGTTTCCTTCTTTAGAATGTGAGCCCCTCAAGGGCATTGCTTCTCCTTTGTATCATTAGTGCTTAAAACAATGACTGGCACACAGTAAGGGCTTAATAAATATTTATGACTGACAAATCCCAGCTGTTTGCTCGTCCAATCAATTTATTTTATTTTAGACAGAACCTGTGATTTCCTGGGTATGGAGACCTCCTAGTGAGGAAATTTCCTTCATCAATAAAGATCAGTAACTACTCTGCAACTTTATAATCTTAACAGAGTGAGGGGGAGGGAGGAGGGTGTTAAGTGACTTGTCCAAGGTCACAAAACCAGGTGTTAGAAGTGGGACTAGAAATCAGGCCTTTCTAACTCTAAGCCTGGTTCTTCATCCAAACATTAAATCTAATTTTTTGGTATCCTGGACACATGAATTTGTGGCAATTTTATAGAAAGACCGTAAACAGACTCATCCCTGAACTTCTACATGGAAATATACTTATCATTTGGTTATTATAACATTGAGTTTCCCCTATTTGTTTACAAAAGGTGCTCCTAAAAGGGGGAAGGGAATTATGCTAAGCACCTTACAAATATTATCTCATTTGATCTTCACAACCACCTTATGAAATAGTTGCTATTATTTATCCCCATTTTACAGTTGGGGAAACTGAGGTGAGCGACAGAAGTTAAGTGATTTGCCCATGGTCACACAGGTAGTAAGTGTGTGTCTGGATTTGAACTTGGGTCTTCCTGATCCTGGGCCCAGTGCTATAATCACTTTGTCACTTAGCTGCCCTTGTTCCTAAAAGAACAAAATTCCTATAATTATAAAAACAAGCCTGGGCAAGGAGAAGAATTGGCAAATGTACCGCCCTCCTTTCTTTGCAGAGGCAGGCTACGGGTGTGGAATACTGCCTGTACATAAGACATTTAATGTGTTGGTTGGCTTTTATAAGATGCAAATTCTTAAAAAAATTTCTTAAGGGATGGCTCTGTGAGTAGGGAAGGGGAAAGGAAATATTCAGAAATGAAGGTGATGTAAAAATGGGAAATATATCAATAAAAATAAGATTTTTCAAAAAGTGGTAACAGGTTGGCACCAAGAAATACAGATGCTAAGTCTCCATAACAAGAATAGTTAGGAGCTAGAATTCACCCATCAGCAAAAGTTTCTGATCAACTAGGTACCCAAAATTTTGGGGAAAATTAGATAGAATAAAAATGAATTTAAAAAAAAGGTTCTCCTAAGTTTGCTCCCTTTCAAACTCAAATAATTGGTGGGGATATTGTTATCCAATTTTCTGAATTAACAGAAAGGAGACAATGGGATCTATTTTTTGGGAGATGCTATAGAATCTCCTTTGAAAATTTCAAAGAGTAAGACAGTTTCTCATCTATACAGCTTAGAACCACAGGTATACCTAAAAGGGGGAGACTACATACTTCAGAACATCCTTATCAAATAGTATTTCTAAAATGTCCAAAAAACTCAAATCTGTAGGATAGTGGTCAGTAACCGGTGGTATTATTTTGAGTAACATGTTCATCAGGGTGTGGCAGTTGGGAAAAAGGACCTGTCCCTAAAAGTGTCCTTTGACCACATTCCTTCTTCCTTACTCTAACTGTGGAGAATGGCTGCCATCCCGTCCATCACCACATAGCTCTCTTGGGTAACTTGCTACATTATCCTCTCTACCCATCAAAGACTTGGCATGCTATTTCTGCCATGTTGCTTTCCCTCATTTTAGTCAAGGAATCTTAACCAGGGAGTCTGTGAGTTTTGGTTTTTAATATATTGATACAATTGGTTTCCTTTGCAATCCTATGTAATTTATTTAATGCATTTAAAAACATTAGTCTGAGAAGGGATCCATAAGACCACACCGGCCTTTCAAAGGCATCCATTGATACAAGAGAAGGTTACAAACACCTCTTCTAATGGCTGACAATCAACAAGCTCTCCAACTTGCTAAACATGGGACTTCTTAAGTCAAAATTTGGAGGTAATTCACGGACTGAACAAAGAGATGTCTATCTGTAATTGCCATACATAGGATCCTGGGCAGCTGGGTGGTGAAGTGGATTGAGTGCTGGACCTGGAGTCAGGAAGATTTACCTTCCTGGGTTCAAGTATGACCTCAGACACTTACTGCCACCTAGCTGACCCTTGATCCTTATTTAATTAGTTCAATAAACTAAAAATAAATGCTAATTTAATTAATTACTAATTAATTAGATTAAAAATTAATGTTAATGTAAAGCTTGCATAGGCTTCTAGGCTGTTATATCTGACCCTGGACATGTCACTTAACCCTGTCTGCTTCAGTTTCCTCATCTGGAAAATGAGCTGGAAAGGGAAACATCAAACCCAAAGGGGATCACAAGGAGTTGGACATGACTGAAAAGACTGAACAACCACAATACATAAGAACACAGATTTAAAGCTGGGAGTGTCCTTAGAGATCATCTAGTCCACCCCTCCCCTCTTATTTTACAGATGAGGAAGCCAAGGCCCAAGAAAGTTAAGTGAGTTGACTGAGGTCACACCCTAGTAATCATCACAGGTGGGACTTAAACCAATTTCTGTGATTCCCAATGCAAAATTCTTTCCATTTGTGACTGTGAAGGGAAAGAATGCATAGCCATCTTTGCATGCCTTTTTTTTTTTTTTAAAGATCTGTGATTTAATTCCTGGGTTTAGAGACACCTCCCACCAATACAAATGGGCCACTCATTTTACAGCTTTAGGAAATGGACTGGGACACTGAGGAGTGAAGTGATTTATCCAGGGTCACACTGCCATCATATGTCAGATGTAAGACTTGCACCTAGGTCTTATTGGCCAAGCTGCCTCTCTCATACGTCTTACAAAAATCAGTCTATGATCTTCATTATTAATAGCCAACTATAGCCTAGGATACTAAGGTAAGTATTAGGCTTAAGTCATACTTAGGCCACTGAATATAACAGGGTAGAATTTGACCCTCTGTTGTGAAAATTGCTGGTCATTTTCACTTCACTCACCATAGCATCCATGATTCTGAAAAATGTTCATGCATGTTCACATCAAGAAATATCAAGAGCTGCCATGCATATATTGCTTTAGGTCTGCAAAGTGCCTTTTACATATATGACTTCATGGATCCTTTTTTTTTTTTTTAATACGAGAGTGGTTTGCCACTTCCTCCTCCAGCTCCTTTTACAGATGAGGAAACCGAAGCAAACAGGGTTAAGAGAATTGCCTTGAATCTTCCTGACTTCAGGCCCATTCTACCCACTGTGCCACCTAGTGGCCGCTTGATCCTTATTTAATCAGTTCGATAAACTAAGAAGAATGACTTAGTGAATGCTAATTTATAGGCTTCTAGGCTGTTATGAAAATTACATTTAGTAAGCTATACATTTCCCAGAATGGAAACTCCCCCCCTACTAATGCAGACAGGTAACTCATGTGTAACCTGTAATCTTATGTAGTTATATAGTTACTTATGCAGTTATATAGTTACATAGTTACTTATATACAGTTGCCCAGGGCACTGAGAGATCAAGTGATTTGCCCAGGATCATGTAGCTAGCATGTGTCTAAGGTGGGACTGGAACCCAGGTCATTCTGATTCCAAAGCCCATTACTGTACCTTGTTACCTTCAGCATTACTTTATTTACAAAAATTAGAAACTTCTGGCTGCCAAAGACCTATCTATCCCTTCTGAATCTCAGCAAAGGAAATTAAGGACAGAGATATTTCCTTACCTTAGGCCAGCCACAATCCCTGCTGGCATTAGTTTCTTCGATCTCTTGAACCTTACGCCCATGATAGTGGCCAGAAGGAAGGTAGTGACTGTAAAACAAACCAATCCATGAGCTGAAGTTACAGCAGAGTAATTCTATGGTTATACAGGAAAAAATACGGACATCACCTCATTTGTCCAGAACTCTCTCCCTCTCATAAGACACAGCAAGTTTTTTTGTCCAAACTTTGAATGGCTCTACTCCTCAAACACACAATACTTAGAAGAACACTTATTTTCAAATCTCTAACCAGGAGTAGTATAGCAAAATACTATACTACTTTTTCATGGGACATTTGTTAACAGCATGAAAGGGACCCTGACCTACCCCCCCCAAAAAAGAATAGGGTTTTAAGGAGAATGGTATATCATGAAAAGGAAGTTCTAATTAATAATTTAAGCCTGGAAGAAAAGAAAACTGGTTTTTATAATGTCATAACACCTGGAAGAACTTAAGGCATGAAAAATAAATAGTTTAGCTGCCTAATTAATAGGATTCAGCATGCCCAAGAGCCAGGTATTATACACTTTGCAGGTCAGTCTTTTAGCAACTCACATCTACAGGAGGCTTCATGCATTAAATGGCATTAAAACGGCATACTTGAAAAACAGCTTTTAAGAAAAAACAACACAACTTACCAAATAACATGCCTGTAAATGACAGAAACCTTTGGATGCAAGCTGCTTAAATGCGTGTAAAAAATACGTTTTAGAAGAATTGCCTTCTTGCAAGGATATTTTGGCTTTTTTTTTTTTGCCCTAATTTACTCCTGACACCATTCACAACCCCTCTTTAAAAAAAATACCCAGCCCCAACTCTCCTCTCCCCATCCCAGACCCAAATATATTATTATTGCGATCTCCTCCCAAAAATATAGATTTGTATTTCAGTTCATGGACAAATTCAGGAGCTTTTTATAGCAATCAAATTGCTACACTAGAATAATATTAATTCAGCTGGTTTCCCAATTCTTCTCTGATTGAATGTCTATGATTAAACTGGGCCAGACAAGGCCCATAATTGTTTTGCCTGTGGTTATGCTTCTCCTTAGCATACCAGGAAAACACTTAGAAACGATCAACCCATGATTTTTCAGATTATTTAAGGCACAGCATGATCCAAAAGTTATGCTTGGAAAGCTGACATTCAAATGAAAAGCATTCAAAGCTGCCTTCTCCCCAGGTACCCTCCCAATACCCAAGAGAACAATGACTGTATTTCTGCAGCTTTTGAAGGTTTTCAACAGAGCCATTTTCACAATAGTCCAGTGAAGTTAAGTGATACAAACATTATTATCCCCATTTTACAAATAAGGAAACTGAGCCTTGGAGAAATTAGGTGACTGGTCCAGAACACAGAAAATGGAACCCACTCCTTCTCAATGATTCCAAATCTATAATGCTTTCTACTTATCCCACAGTGATCACCTTGAACTTGAACCTGGAGAGCTGGGAGTTACTAAGAGGTAGTGCCCCTTGTTAGGGTCTCAGATCTAGAGTCAGAAGGAAATCTCAGAAATCATTTAGTCCAACTCCCTTGTTTTTCATATGAGAAAACTGAAGCCCAAGGAGTGTAGACGACTTGCCCAACATTACCCAGCTATGAAGTGTCAGAGCTGGGATTTGAACCCAGGTTCTCAGACACCAAAGCCTGTGCTTTTTCCACTGTTCAGTTAGGTCTCAATTAGTGCAAACAACAAATCCCCATGAAGAGGTCACATTATTCAAATTTGAACTGCATATTTCCATTGGGCTGGAACTAATGACCATATTTTAGATAATTACAGTTTTGAATAATGTAAATTTGAATACCTGAGACTGCTTCATGAGATTCATTATTCATACTAATTGGTACCCAGCTGTGCCATGTTGACACCTGATCACGCAGAACTGTTTCTGCGATTTGCAAGACATACTAAGAGATCTTGATTTTTTTTTAATACCTTCTTTTCTCAGTCTAGGCCAATATAATACTCACATAGTGACATTTTGACATCTCGGGGGTCACGGGAGATACGGTAAGCTCCATAACCTGCCAACAAGCCAAAGAAAAGACCAGCAACCAAAGACACAATGCTTCCTAAAACAACAAGGAGGGTAGAGGGTCAGCAAGAGAAATGCAAATCAAAGAAATATGAAACATGAGGACATCACTTCACAATTCCACGAAGCTGTGTTGGTGTGGGTTGTCTCTCCTTGGCAACAGATCACAACTCCTCCAGAGCACATTCTGGTAGACCTTGGATGACAGACACACACAATCTGTCTCCAGTCCTATCCTCAAACCTTTTATTCAGCATGGTATAGCCTACCAAAGCTTTGTGTTCCAGGACAACCACTGGGGTCACCTTCTTCCACCACCCCGAGGCACAAGAATAGGATTTTTTGTAGAGGATTTAAAATATTTGAAGAAAAATAGACTTTCTTTCAAAAGTAATGCTAAGAATCAATCAGTTAGTATTTATTCAACATTTCTGTCTATCACATCCTTCTATCAGTCTATTTATCATATCTTTCTATCATCTATAGCTGTCAATCTTTCTATCACATCCCTCTTGCATTCTGGGCCATTGCCAGTCATCTTAACTTTTGTCTTGCTACTGGACTCTGGAGGAGAAAGTGAGGCTGATGACTTTGCATAGCTCTGCCTCACTTAAATCCCATTCACAAGCAAATTGAGACTTCACCTTCTTTGAGAATAATGGAGGAACAACAATTCAACCCTTTCAGGGTTCAGGCACAGTGCTAGGTACTGGGGATACAAAGGGGAAAAAAACGAAACAAAACAAAGTAGTTCCTCCTCTCAAGTAGCCTATACTCTATGGCCTTGCATATACACACAAGTAAAAACACAATACATATGAAGTAAATACAGCATAATTTGGGGAAGGTAGGTGCTAGCTGCTGAAGGGAACCTTTGAAGCAGACAAGGTCAACTTATGATCATTCAAAGATGAATATTTGCTGACATCTTTTGTTTTGACATCCTCTTCATTTGTGATTGAAGCTTCCCCAAGGAGCTCTCGTTTGCAACAAAGAATTCAAAAGAGAGAAAGAAGTTCAGCAATAAATGGTTTTCATAATCTGACTTGAAAGGGGGAAAAAAGTTAAATATTCAGGTCTCTTGTTGTATCATTTCAGTTGTGTCTGACCCTTCCTGACCCCATTTGGGGTTTTCCTGGCAAAGATACTAGAGTGGTTTGCCATTTCCTTCTCCAGCTCATTTGACAGATGAGGAAACTGAGGCAAACAGAGGTTAAGTGACTTGTCCAGGGTCACGCAGCTAGTAAGTGTCTGAGGCCAGATTTGAACTCAGGAAGATGAGTCTTCCTGACTCCAGGCCTTGCACTCTATCTACTGTGCCCCCTAGCTGCCCTCAGGTCTCTTTACTGTTTTATAATTGAAATAAGTTGGAAACTTTGTCGACGGGGAAAATATGTATTTTCATGAGCAATTCAGTAGTGATGATAACTTCACATTTATATGGCATTTTAAGTTTTGCAAATCAATTCACATACACTTTCTCATGTGAGATTCATAATAACTGGGTGAGGTAGATGCTATTATCAACTTAATTTTATGGGGAATGAGGGAAACTGAGGGTCAGAGAAATTAAGTCTGTCACACAGCTAATAGGTGTCTGAAGCAAGATTCAGATCTAGTCCCTTCCTGATGCTAAGTCAAAAGCATCTACGTAGGCCTGGAGTCAGGAGGACCTCAGTACAAATCCAGCCTTAAAAACTTAATAGCTGTGTGACCTTAGACACTGTCATTTAACCTGTTTACCTCAGTTTCCTCAACTATAAAATGGGAATAATAATAGCACCTGCTTGCCAGAGCTGTTGTGAGGATCAAATGAAATCACATTTATAAAGTGCTTGGCACACAATAGGTCATTAAGAAATGCTTCTTTCCTTCCTTCTAAGTACAGCGTTCTATCCACTAGGCCAGGCAAAGAATTTGATTTCTCTGAAGTTCAAAATAGATGATTATCTATGAAGTTTCAAAGTCTGTACAATCATTTACAGAGGTTACATTGCTTCCTAATTTTTCTAACAGATACACCAAAAATAGAAGAAAAAAAATAACTTTGATCATAAATTTACAGGGTACAAAGGGGCCGCAATGGGTCATTTGTTCTAATCTTTTATCCCTTAGCCTCCAAGGGAGAAGTACCTACACTATAGAAGATAGATGGTTTTTCTGCCCTTGCCTTCTGAAAGATCTCTAAAAGAAAGCAAATTCTTGCATTTAACTCTGGCTACTTTGTCTTTACTCAAAACTCTTTAGCATACCAAAATGGTTAGAAATACAAAAACTCCCCAGAAAAGCAAAACAGAACAAAACAAAAGCTGTGGTTTTTCACTTCTACGAAAGGATGAGAAGCAATAAGAAAAGTAAGAAACATTTTGCTCATAAATTTCTCTTCTTCAAGATAATTTGTCTCACTCAATTATATGCCTATCAAGATAAACAAGTCAAGGATCTGATCAGTGAAGGAATTAAGTCTTTGAGTTACCTGAGACCTTCCGAGAAGTTAGGTAATTTGCCCAAGATCTAAGTGTCAAAGGCTAGACTTGAACCCTGGTCTTCTGACTTCCAAGTCAGACTCCAACTCTACTACTCTCCAATGATTCTTTACATAATTATATAAAAATATTAAAAATAAAATTCTGAATTGGATGTCTTCCACCTCAAATTTTCCAATGAGTTGGATTTTTCTTTCTTTTGGACACTAGCAACAAGACAATATCTAACTTGGCACTGAAGTACTTTCCCTTATCAATATGCTATGCCAACATCAACTCATAAAGTTTCCTATCAGTCTTGTTGTTGTTCAGTGGTGTCCAACTGTTTATTCTAGGCAAAGATACTGAAGTGGCTTTCCATTTCCTTCTCCAGTGTGTCCTCATTTTACAGATAAGGAACCGAGGCAAATAGGGGTTAAGTGACTTACCCAGGGTCACTCAGCTAGTGTCTCAGACCAAATCTGAACTTAGGTCTTTCTGACTCCAGGCTTGGTGCTCTATCCACTGCACCATCTAATTGCCCCCACCAGTCTTAGTAGGGAAAAAATCCAATCTCTAACTAATAAGTAGGGAACTTAAAGAGAGTGTAGTATTAAAGATGACATTAAAACTGAGAACTCTCTAAATTTTTTCTCTCATTCACAGGTCCTCATATCGTTCATGCAAACTTTGATTCCTAAGTCATCTTTAGATATAAAATTTAGAATTTACCTTTGCGATGATATCCCAAAAAGCCTCCAGATGCTATTATGCTAGCATATCCAAAACCAATCCAGTCAATAGTCATGGTTATACGTCTAAAGAAATAGAGAAAATGAAGAGGACTAAGTAAGATAAGACTTAAAAAAGAATTTTTTTAAACAGGGAAATATGAATCCGACACATGAAAATTATTAACAAAATGAAAAGGTACATAAAATAAAGCCAACAATTTTTCAAGCCTGTTTATTAAAAAAAAAAAAAGAAAAGTGTTGGCAAAAACTTAGGATGAAATCTTCTTTTCCTTACCACCCCCTTCCCCACAACACATGAAATGACACTTCTCTTATCTGGCAACACCCAGGAATCAGGTATTCAAGAGAATCAGGATTCCAGAGAAGTCAATTGTCAAAACTTAAAACATCTTTCTTACAGAAAGCTCTACAAAATACATTCCACACTCCTCTGCCTTAATAAGCAGAGCATATCACAAGGATTCATGATTTCATAGGCATGTAAGCCCTTCTATGTCTCGGCAGAAAGTCTTCGTCAGTTAGTGTGGTTGAAAAAAACAAAAACAAAAAATCACCCAATGGCCAACTTTAGGGTGAGAAGCCTCTCCAGACTTGACTAGAATGGTCCTCAGAGAATGGACACACAGTCTATCTCCAAGGCTGCATTGGAGGCCTTTCCTGCTTGGTAGGGCTTGCCAGACCTTCCCACAATGATACTTGTATCCCCACAATGTATTGTAATACATTGTATTCCCACAATGATAAGTATCACACAATGATACTTATAAGGGCCTGTGGAGGTGGAAGATTGCTGGTCCCTACCTCGAGTTTCCCCAAAATAGCTATGTTCTTCTAAATGATGTTTCTTCCATTTCCTCTCCTATAGCTGCTTCAGCTGTCTGCTGTCCCTTCTCACTGCCCACAGTGGTTTTTTTCATCTCTGCTACTACTGCTAATCTACCACTTCCCTATTAGTACTGGTTTCTTCTTCTCCGGTCCCCAGTGCCTTGTAGGTTTGGCCCTAGGGATGGCTGGCTTTGAAGGACATCATGGGCTAATAGAGATGTTACTTTATCCTGATCCAAAAACCAACTAATCACCTGTCATCTTTGATGCTCTGCTTCTTTCTAGGCCTCTTAGGTTTTCCTGGTTGTTCTACAGAGTTGAGGGTATCACAAATCTCAGGACCAGGTAAATAGAGGACGTTACTGAGTTAGAAAATATGTTTCCCCTGATTTGGACAAATTGGGTTTGAACTTTTAGAGCGATACAAAATGAAGTATAAGCAAAACCAAGAAAATCACATGAGTGACTCCAACAATTAAATGGAAAGGAAGGAAGGAAGGAAAAGAGGGAGAGAGAGAGGGAGTGAGGAAGGAAGGAAGAAGAGGAGGAGGTGAGGAAGAAGAAACTGAATGATATATAATTATAATGACCAAATCTAGCCTCCCCAAAAGAGATAAGAATGCATCCCTCCATGCTACCTTGCCTCCTGCTATCTTTGCAGAAGAGGGAAGATTATAGATATGGAACACTATACATTATATCAAGGTTGGTTAATACATTAGTTTTGCTGAACTCTTTTATTTTTTTTTATTCTTTGTTATAAGGTTGGCTCTATGAGTAGGGAAATGAGAAAAATGTTTTGAGAAATGAAGGTGACATAAAACCAAACGATATTAACTGAAAATATTAAAACTCTTCAGGTTATGGCTGTTGTTGCTCAGTCATTTTTCAATCGTGTCCAACTCTTTGTGCCCCTATTTGGAGTTTTCTTAGCAAAGATGCTGGAGTAGTTTTCCATTTACTTCTCCAGCTCATTTTACAGATAAGGAAACTGAGACAAACAGGGTTAAGAAACTTGCCCAGGATCCCACAGCTAGTAAGTATCTGAGGCCAGATTTGAACTAAAAAAGACTGAGTCTTCTTGACTCCAGGCCCAACAGTCTATTCACTGCGCCATCTAGCTGCCCTATCATTACTCCTAAAATTTTCCAGATGTCTTAAAACACGTAGAGAGCTGCTGGATCTCTTATCGGACTTTTCATATCTTCCCTTCCTTCTGCCTCTATTACCCATTAGATCCCAAATGGGAATTAAGTGGCCATTAGTACTGGGCACAGACATAAACTACAATGAACACACTTCCAGGTTCCATTAAAAGGCCTTCCAACTCTGAAATACTCTGATTGCATTAAGACAGCAATCCAGCTTACCTTTTACAGAAGCTCTCTTAGGGCATCTCTCCCACCCCCTCCCAATGTCATCTCTGTTCCCTTTTAGGACTCTTCTAACTCCAACATAACTACCCTCTAAACAAAAGGTCTTGAAGGAGTGATAATTGTGCTCACAATTCAAACCCCATCATCTCCAGCTATCAGAAACTCTACCAAAGAAAAGTTTCATGGGCCTCTCACATACGGTTGAGGCTTGCTGTGCTTACAAGTTCTCCCTCAGACTTAACTTTTACCTGCTATAGGAAGGCCAGTCTCATTAGTAAAGTGTGATAGGGAGAGGAAAAACATCAAAGACAATGGTAGGGTTTTGGGCCTGAACACTAGAAGAAAGTTGGTGCCACCAAAAGAAATTGGTAAGCTGAAATGATAGGCAGATTTTGGGAAGGAGTTTTGATTTAGTTATATTTAATATACAGGTGGAATATCTAGGTGGAGACATACAACAAGCCACTGGAAATACAAAACTAGACTTCCAGAGATTGGACCTAGAGATAGAGATTTGGGAGTTATCTACATTATGATGATGACTGAAGCCATATAGATGGAATAGATCAGGGTTAGAGAATCTGTGCCCTTTGGACTCGATCTTTTGACCAAGTCCAAGTTTTACAGAACAAATACTTTTATTAAGAGGATCTGTTCTGTGAAGTTTGGATTTAGTCAAAGGGCCAAACTTGAGGACCTAGAGTGCCACATGTGGACTCAAGGTCAAATGTTCCCCACCCCTGGACTAGATCATCAAAGATGAGAGATAAATGGGGCAAGGGAGAGCCTTGTGTGACATTTATATTTGTGCTATGGGAGGAGGAAGAAGCAGTGAAGGAGACTAAGAGATTTTCAGAAAGAAGAACAAGGATAAAGCAGCATTACAACGGCCAAGAGAAAAAGAGAGAATCCAGAAAAAAGAAGCAGTGAAATGCTACAGAAAGGTCAAGAATTAGAAGTGAGAACTAGGCCATTGGGTTTGACAAATTAAGAAGTCATTGATGATACTGGAAAGAATTATTTCAGTTAAGTGGTGGGGATACAGTCTTTGCAAACCTTAAAGCACTATGTAAATGTCAGCTATTATTATTATTATTATCATTAATGAGATTAGGGATCATCAAGTACATAGAATTAGTAGAGAACCAGGATTAGAATCTAGGATTGTCTCTTGACCCCCAGTATACAGGCTCTTTCCATAACAGCCATTTATTAAGCACCCACTATATATAAAGCACTGTCCTACAAGGTGGGTAGATACAGATAATTAAGACATGATTTCTGCCATCACTTACTACCTTTCTCCAGGGAAAAGAAAGCAATTTACCAATTACACTGACATTCTCATTCCTCTGCAAACCTGTCAAGCTCAGCATATTTAAGGCCATTATCATTCAGGCAACTGAACCCAGGAGAGGTGTGTGATATGCCAACATTAATTGGATGAACCTGAGAAGGACTGAAATAAGGAACCGTCAACATCCTCATCCTTAATTAACATTCATACGGCCAGATCCGTCCTCGAAGTTCCTGTTTTAATATTGGATCTGAAAACTAAACTTGGAGAAATCCTACAAAAACACCTATGCAAAGCCTAGCTCACTCGCTCAGTAGGATTTGGTTTTTCTGGCCCCCAAATGAACTGAATGACAGCTACATGGCTTAGGGAGAGTGATGGAATTGGAGCCAGAAATATGAGTCCAAATCCTACATCAGACACAAGTTATGTGATCCAAGCAAGTCACTTAATCTCTCTGACTCAGTTTCCTCATCTGTAAAATGGGAACAGCACCTACTTGTTGTGAGGCTCAAATGGGAATAATACAGGGTGTCCCCAAAATTCTTAATGCAGCTTTAAGCTTTAGTAGCTTGTATATAAAGCATTTTGCAAATTTTAAATCGCTTTGTAAATGCTAGCCATTATTATCATAAATGCCGTATTCTAAGGTACTGAGAAGTCAAGACCCCTGAACTTATTTATTTATTTACCTGGGCGCAGAAAACCCCACAAGGAGAAGCATCAATTTTCTGCCCCACCCCTTTTCACTGAGGGGTCATCTGGATACACCTGAACTGCTTTTTTAAAGAAGAAAGTGGATGATGTGGTTCCAAGTGACCGAAGGAAGGGATGTTGTGGCGGCGCTTTTGTAACTCAGCATGCAGAGAGCAGCAGCGATGCTTTTAAGTGAGGCTATTCTGCATTTATACCAGACGGAAAAATTAAATGGAAGGGAAACTATCCCTGAAGCTAGAAAGTATTCCCTTACCTCTGCAAACAGGTTCATTTCCCCAGACAACACGCATTCCCTTACGAATGAAGTTTGTTGGCTTCTTTTTTTCATGCCCTTTACCCTCTCCACCATAATACTGCACAGTTTAGGGTGTGTTGCAACTTGGCTGGGGGAAATCAGCCCGAAGAGATCTGGTTAATACTGAGGGGGTTCGTGTCTGCTCCCGGAAGGGAGGGTAAAGGAGAAAAAACAAGGGGCTACTAGAGCTGCAAGAAAAGAGTAAGGCAGAGATCCCCTCCCTGGAAACTGAACCAGGTGTGAAGCTGCTCCCAGGCTGCAGCGGCGGAATGGAAGAGCTGGAAGGGACCCTGGCGGTCCATCCCGCACAAATCTTTCTGTCCGTTCGTTTGCTCCCTGGGCAAAAAGCGAGGGGTCGCTGCTCTGCGCTTCGTGCACCCCCTCCTACATTTAGGTCCATCAGCAGGGAATCAAGGGCTGCATCCCCAGGGGAGGGAATTCTAGAGGAGGACTGGCCAGTTTCCCCAGCCGAGCTTAGCTCTCCAGACCCACGCCTGCAGATGGGACGGGCCCCCGAGACAGACAGCAAGGGGGCTGGAGAAGAGAAAAGCCACCAGCTCAGGTTTAGTTTGCTTACCTTGCGCTCTGGAGCCGATCCCGCCTCCAGTACCCTCTGCACTCCCCTTCTCCCTTCCTTCTTCCCTTCTCCTGCAGCTCCTCCCCGGTCTCTGCGCATGCTCGCTCTCCCTCTCTCCTCCCTCTCCTTCCTTCCGTGGTCCCGGTCCAGTCACGCCCGCGCCCTCGGAAAGGGGAAGGGTGCAGAGTCTGCCCGGCTGCCGAAGCCGGAGCCTCTGGGAGAGGACGGGGGCGGAATCCGAGCCTCCTGGGCCAGGGTTCGGTCTGTGGAACGTCCCGGGCGCGTTCCATCTCTACCGGCAGCCGCGTGCCCACAGTCCTCTCCCAGGCTCCAGCACATCCTACCATACCTGACCATCCATCCCGCAGTCAGCCCCGGCCCTGGCCAGAGTCAGACTCTGGGCCTCGGAGCTTGCTGCCGGGACAGCAGAAGGGGTGGGTGCCACCTGCTGGACATAAATTGAGGCTGGGAAAGAGTTCGGGAGGATTATGTGGAAATTCTGTGTAATGCAACCAAAATACTCATGAGGGAACCCTGGATGCTGGTTGTCTAAGTTTTATGCTACCCTTCTGTTACCATAGGATCATAGATTTAGGACCTTTAGAAATCAGCTAATCCAACACGCTTATTTTGCAGATGAGGAAACTGCGGCTCAGAGAGGTCACAGGTAACCCAGGTCCTCAGACTAGCGGCAGCTCAGGAAGCTAGGACTTATAGCTAAAATTTAAAAAACAAAACTCTTAATAGCATGTGGTGCTTCTTTATCACAGCCCTGACAATGTTTATCATCATCATCCCTGTCACCTCCCCACAGTCCCACACACACTGCCTTATGTAGTTCAGAAGAGTGAGACTGAGAGATATAGTGACTTGTCTAATAGTGAGTGGAATAAATGACACATTTAAGTCTTCTTATTCCAAATCCAACGTTCTTTCCATTACAACCACTCTGCCTCTGCCACTGAATCATAGTCATTTATTTACCCAGCAGTGTCCCAAATAAGTTTCCTAGTGCACAGGCCTGACTATGTCATTTCCCTGATTAAAAACCTTCAGTGACTCCTTGCTGTCTTAAGAAGATAAAAACCCCTTAATCTAGCATTTTAAAAGCCCTCTATAATCAGTCTCTGACTGGGAAGGTTGGGAGGGAGGGAAGGAAGGAAGGAAGGAAGGAAGGAAAGAAGAGAGAAATGAGGGAAGGACAAAGAAAAATAAAGGAGGGAAGGATAAAGAGAAAGGAGGGAAGGACAAAGAAAGGAGAGGAAAAGAGGAGGGAAGGAAGGAAGAAAGGAAGAGGAAGAAAGGGAGGAGGGAAAAACAGAAAAAGGAAGAAAAGAAAAAGGCGAGAAGGAGGAAGAAAGGAAAAGAGAAAGGAGGGAAGGACAAAGAAAAAGAAAAAAGGAAAGAAGAAAGAGAAAGGAAAGGAGGGAAAAGAAAACACATGTTGCAAGACTTAACTGTCTATTGCTTATCCCACTTATCTTTACTGAAGTATTTCCTTTTTGTTAGAATGGTAGTTGTGACCGAAACCTACTTTCCTCATCTCTCCCTCTCCATGTTCTACACATTTAAAAAAAAATAGCTTAATTATAAAATATCACATCACTTTTTTAAATTGGAGGAAAATAGATGCAGGTATCTTTCACAACAATGGACAATGGGTAGAGGGAGAATTCTTACTTAAGCTAAGGATAAATCAGATGATTTTGATTACATGGAGTTGAAAAGCTTTTGCCCTAACAAATCAATAAGGTGAGAATAAAAAGGAAACTATTGAATAGGGAAAAGCTTTGCTACAAATACATCTGACAAAGAACTGGTATCTAGGAAATGAAATCAAACATGTAAGACCTCAAGGGACATTTCCCAATGGAAATGTGGTTAAAAGATATGACCCAATTATTCTCAAAAGAATTGCAAACTATTAACAACCATATGAAAGACTGCTCTAAACCACTAATAGTAAGTGAAATGCAAATTGAAACTGTTCTGAGCCTTCACTTCATATCCAGCAAATTGGCAAAGATGACTATGTTAAAGGGGTTCCAGGCACACTAAGACACATTGGTCAAGTTCTGAGTTCATTGGATCAGAGGATGCATTAATCCAATTATTCTGGAAAGCAATTTGGAATTATGCTTTATAAAAAAAAAAAAAGGTGTTTATACCCTTTAGCCTAGAGATCCCACAGTCATATTTTCCAGGCAAGTGGAGACAGAAAGAAAGGTCCCATTTACTGCAAAATATTCAAAATGACTCCATTTTTTATGTCAGCAAAGTAGAAACAAAGTAGGTGTCCACCAATTGGGGAATGGCTAAACAAATCGTATATGAAGAATTCAGAGAAGCATGGCAAGACAGATACATGAAGTGATGTAGAGTGAAGTAAGTAGAATCAGAAAAATAATATATACAATGAGTCCAAAATAGAAAATGAAAAAACAATAAAACAGAATGTTATATAATTAAAATGATCAAGTTTAAGCGCCAAAGAAAAATGGAGAAAATGTATCTCTCTCCTTTTACTATAGAAGCAGGAGGATATCAGTGTATAATACTAGAACACATCAGATGTGGCTGATATATTGGATAGTTTTTCTGAACTTTTAAAAAATATATTTGTTAGTAATACTAGCATTTACATAGCACTTTCAAGTTTGCAACCCACCTTATGAATGTTATTCGTTTTATCCTTAAAACAAGTTTGGGAAGTAGATTGTTTTATTATCTCCTGTTGTAGGCGAGAAAATGAAGGCAGACAGAGGTTAAATCACTTGCCCAGGTTCACACAGCTGATCTGTGTCTAGTCTGAGGCTAGATTTGAAAACTCCAAGTCCAGTACTCTATCATCTGGGCCACCTCGCTGCCTTATTACAATGGGTAGGGTGGAGATGAAGAAGTATATAATACAAAATGAATATTATGTAAAAACAAAAAGCCCTAATTGAAAAAAAAAGAAAAAGAAATGTATTTTCTTCCCATGGAATCCTCTCAGATCATTCCATCCAACAGTGATAACTCTCTTCTGAACTCTCATAGCATTTAATGTACTACTTTTTGGCAATCAATTATATACATTTAAATGGTACCTTTTGCATTGCTGTATTGAACTTTTATAAAGGCATTCCTGTTTACTTATGGGTTGGACTAAATGGCCAGTAATTCTATGAACTGTGATTTTGCTGTTTTGGCGTTGTTTTTTACATGTTCATATCTTGTCTTCCAACTAGACTGTAACCTTCCTGAAAGCAAACATCATTACTCTTTTTTTGCCTACCCACAATGCTTTCCTCAACAAACACTTTTTATGAACTATCGTTGGGCATATGCTGAATTTGAGTTGATAATCAGATACCCAAATGGAGATTAGTCCAGTGGGGAGTTGGACAGAGCAAACCAGAGTGTAATTGACAGTTAGAGCTTGGCAGAAAGAGTCAAGTCATTGAACAAAAATATTCCATACAATGGGTGCCTTTAATAAATACAGCATTTCGATGAAGCACAGAAGAAGAAAGGGAAAAACTGATACAAACAAATAGTTCTCATCCCAAAGGCAAATTGCTAATGGCATAATTAAACCAAATTTAAGTGATGAACTTCCAAGGGGCAAGAAATATTTATAAACAAAAAAAGGCACAGCAATTACAAAGCTGAAGATTAATTCAAGTGAAGTAAAACCAAAATGCCAATTGAATTTCCAGTTCAGCAGATTAAATGAAGCCAGTTGATGACTTTCTTGCTTTCTTTTACCTAGAAAAGACAGCAGGTGGCACTGAGACCTCTGTTTTAACACCATGGGCAGGACTTCAGGGTTGTAATATCATTAAAACATTGCGATAAAACTTAGGTATGGTCTCTGAAAAAAAGTGAAGACAAAATTGTCGCTTAAACCAAACTTGAGCAATGAATGGGAAAATTGGGTTACAATTTCAGGTATTAATATATATATGTGTATATATGTGTGTGTGTGTGTGTGTGTGTGTGTGTGTGTGTGTGTGTGTATTCTATTCCAGAAAAATGTTTACTTCTATACCACAACCTGCAGCCATAATCATATGCCCTGCCTTGAGAAGGGATGGTTCTTATATACATCCTGAGTAGACAGTCAGTCAATACATGAACTCAGACACTGATTTAGTACCTACTATGTGCAAGATTCTGTGATGAATATTCTTGAAACATGAAGAATTGGAAGTCATAGTTACTGCCTTTAAGGATCTTATCAATTAATTCAGTTCAACAAACATTATTAAGCACCTACTGTCTGCAGAGCATTATGTTAGGCACATATTTAGGCACAAAATTTATGGGAAATGCTTTGTGTTGAACAATCCATTGAGATCAGTATTCCTTTCACCAGTACAGATTGCAACCCATCCATGCTTTTTCATTGTGTATGGCTCTTGACCACTAGCTAACATAAATGGTCAGCCAGGAGCAGGCAAGGAAGCTTTAAATATGCCCTGTTACATAAGTATATACAGAATAAATAAAAATTAAGTAAAGATAGTTAAATACAAGGTAGTTAGGAAGAAAGGACACTACCAGATGGAGAAATGGAGAACAGTATGGACAGAGGCACAGAGTTGGGAAATATCGCAGGGTCTGTTCAGTGAATATTCCCATTTACCTAGACTGTAGATTACATGGAGAAGAATAGTTAGAGACAAAGTTGGGAGGGTAAAATTGTAGCAGTTATGGAGGGCCTTGAAGGCCAGGCTAAAGAGTTTGAACTAAGTTCTATAGGCAATAGTTTATAACATATAGTTCTAAAAAATTTATGTCATGATATCATAAAATTGTAGGATCATAGATTTAAAGCTAGAAGAGACCTTAAATGTCATCTAGTCTATTCTCATTTTACAGATAAGGAAACTGAGGCTCAGAGAGGTTAAGTGATTTGCCCAAGGTTACACAGACAGCAAGTAGCTGAGTCAGGATATGAACATAGGTCCTCTGACTTTAAATCTATGTAATGTATAATGGTACATTCTACATCATTAAGTAAAAAAAAAAGTTGAATGTCTTCTGGAGATGATCTGTGGATTCTTTCAATTGGTACTTTATTTTTTGTGGTCAGAAGTTCTGAGCAATTTTTTGCATTATTTCTTACATTCTGGTATTTAGATTTTTAGACTTGTCCTGTTCTTCCGGGAGATCAAGAATCCTTAAATTGTTTCTATACAGACTGTCTTTGAGATCAATATTTTGCTCGTTTTCTTTTAGTGTTATTTTTTTTTTGTTTCTCTTCTTCCAGATCATCCTTTTGCATTTCCAATCAGATGTTCTTCCTTTTGTTTCTTTTGGGAGCTTTACCACTAATTCAAGTTTTTCTATTCTGCCAATAATTTCTGCTGTGTAA